AACTATTACTAGACAAAAGCAAAATATTGGTGGCCATATGGGAACTCAATGAGCAATAGAAACTAAATTCAATGCTTTGTTCCACAGCTGCTTTGATACTAAGGCTGCTCATGATAATGATTTTTATTCTGATTAAGTTAATATATAATTTACAAGCAAAACCATTTTTTTTTGTACTTTCTGCGTGTCCACTCTAATTCCTGTTAGTAAGATGATGTCACTACCAGGTTTCGCTTGTGGACTAAACTAAGGATGTTTGTTATTTGTACCATGCAGTGTTTGGTTGCTGTATTGGTGATAAGATAACATCCTAAAATGTTTATTCCTAATCAATCACTGATTGTCGTTGGCTTTGTTACAAGTGAAAAAACCTGTGGAATAGATATTGTACTGTACTAATAGTCCTTAGAACAACAACATATAATATGCTGTAATTGTATTGTTTTGTTATGAGACTGTTTAACTACTTCATGATTTCAATAGTAACTGTGTCATTTAATTATTAATTATTCAATTAAATTATTATTATTACTGAATAGTAGGCTTGAAAGTGGAAGAATAGAGGGTGCAGGGGCGGATCCAGTTGGTGGGTGCAGGGGGTGCGCACCCCCCCTGAGATCTGTGTCCTTCAATACTTTTATTATTTTGTATCTTCATGGTAATGATTTTTGTGTGCACCCCCTCCTGAGAGCCCCCCACCCCTCCCTGAGGAAAATCCTGGACCTGCCCTTGGGGTGAATAACATGATCAAGACAGTATTTTCCCAAATGGGGTCTGATTTAACTCACTCAATTTTTTGGATTGTAGTATTTTTTTGATAGTATAATATTCTACCCTATCCATTGTTATTAATTTGAATAGTGGTTCTGCATGACAGATTTTTCTGGACCATCTCATGGTTATTATTTTGCTATCATTTTAGACCATAGAATGGTTCTCTTAAGTGGGAATATAGGGCCAAGAATGATTCTCTTAAGTGGGAATATAGGGCCAAGAATGGTTCTCTTAAGTGGGAATATAGGGCCAAGAATGACGAATGCTACCAACTGTTAACCTTTTTTGATGTCATTGTTGATAAAGATATTGTGTTTTCATTTCTTTCAGTTTTTTGATGACATTGAGTATCTWTTAGATGGAATCCAGTCTCCTAAGATTCAAACAAGATGTCTTAGTGCMCTAGATATAGCATCACGATGCACTAGTGCAGGTTTTAGGATCAATTTAAGAGCACATGGTATGATACCAAAGATATTCAAACTCTTGGAAGATGCACATACTGATGAGGTATTTACTGAAATAAAAAACACATAATTATTTGCAAATAGCATTTAATAGAGCAATCCCACATTTGCTTGCATGAACACGAAACATGAATGGAGTCATTTCAAAGCTGTAGTTTTCGACAAAAGATAAAACTCCACCCTCGAAATGAAGTCATATTGCTATGTGTTCTTCCAAGCAAATGTGGGATTGTTTATAATTTATAAATTTATAAAGTTGTGTTTCCTATTTTTTGTGTAGTTTCATGAATACAATTTAGTAAACATGTGGTGTTCATAACGAACAAGAGTCAATCAAATGATGTCCTTCTTTAAGTTGCACACGTTTGTGCTGTTTTGTTTTTTGTACAATTAAACACTTTTTGTACTTTTATTCTACTAAGCAGCCAAGTTTCCATTGTGTTCTTTAGTATTATATGACTCACTTGCAGTCTTAGACAATCATGTTGGTTATTTCAATTATGACAACTACATTTTTCTTGTTTGTTTAGAATCTAGGTCTGTGTACAGCAGCCATCATATTCGTACTTACWCAAGACAAACAGAATATTGACTTCGATAAGTTTGTTTTAGGTGAGTTTTTCTATAGTGTTTATTTAAGCAACATCAATAGTAAATACACCAACAAAAATATTAATAGCTGAGATAATAATTGGTAAAGAGGTGTTCATGTATAGTTAATGTTAATTCTGATTGTAAAACCTATTATAATTATAAGTAATAGCATGGCTCTGAGGGAGATTAGGGATTAAATGTCCCTGAAACCAAGGGCAGATAAGTTGAAGTCCCGACGGCCGCAGCTGTAGGGACATTCAGTTGTTCCTACTAGGAAGAAAAGGTTTCTGTTGCCTTCCGTTCCTCATGAATAAAATGAGGGACAATTAGTCTAATCTTCACTCATGTTATTAATGTTATTACTAGTAATCGTCCCTCATGCTATTCGTGAGGGAGGAATGTTTGCTTGTAAACATTTCTCAAAAGACAAAAGAATCCGAGGTGATCATGGTATTATAATGATTATTAATCTGTCATTTTTACAGAAATGATGATGAAATTTCTGTCCATTGATGAAATGGAGGACTCGCAAGAAAAGAATCATTTGTTGTATGTACAGAAGGCAAGGTAATGTAGTCTAAAATTTCATTTTTAAGCACCTTTCACATAAGAACCATTTAAGGCTGAAATTCTAATTTTGAAAAAAAGTAAAAAATCTGATCAAAATATAGCAAAAAATATTCTCAAAAATATATTTATAAAACAGTATGTACACACTGATTATAGTAGTTACAGCATTTGATTTTAACAGTAGTGTAGTATTTTGCTTACCGAAGCCTCCAAGAATACTGTTATTAGACATAAATGACCATATCATTTAAAAATTCTTACCTTTTCTTGAACAAAAGTTAAGAGCCTAATTAAGAACCTAGTTAGCCTAATTTTACACTAAATACCATTTATATAAGAACCTGTTTGGGTTAACTTGAACAAACCTAGGTTCTTATACGTGGGGTTTTACTGTATACCATCAACGCTTTCTAACTGAACACATCACTTCATTCAATCAATCAATCAAACAGTTAGTCAATCAATAAATTGATCAATCCTTTGATCAATCAATTATTCAATCAGTCAGTTTAAGAGTCAATCAATCTGAAAATCAGTCAATCAATCATGTTGTCAATCACTTATTCAATTGCTCATAAAATACTGAAAAATGAAGTCTCAAAAAAGGTCATTGTATTTGACTGTTAAATTGCAGAACAATGTTTGAGAAGCATATGAGTCGAATACCAGGAGCCTTTCTTGACTTAAAAGACATCAGTGTAAGTATGACTACCTTGCCTGTGTGCTCTTGTTTCTCTAGAATCATGTCCCATGGCTGCCATTTTGAATTGAAATAGAATGAGACAAGTATTAACTAACAATCAAGCCTAAAACAAGGTTAAATGTCAAGATATAATTATTTTTGGGTATTCAGGCTTCATCTCTGGCAAGGGAATCACTGTTGTCCATCACCACAGAGAGGATGGGTTCATGGTTTAAAGAAGAAATCAGAACACTTGGAGGTCTTGATCATATTGTAAATGCAGGTGAGTCACACAAATATATGGAGAAAATCAACTTTTAGCAACCATTGAAACAAGATTGCAACTTACCAGCCAACCAAATATTAAACAAACAATGCAAGCTAAATCATCAACCATTCAATCATGTGATAAATCAATGAATCAATCAACAAATCACTCGATCAATTCATTCATCCATCAATCAACCAACCATTCAATCAACCAATCGGTGAATCAATCAATCAATCAACGAATCGGTGAATCAATCAATCAATCAATCAATCAATCAATCAATCAATCAATCAATCAATCAATCAATCAATCAATTAATGAATCAATCAATCAATCAATCAATCAACGAATCAGTGAATCAATCAATCAATCAATCAATCAATCAACAAATCACTTGATCAATTCATTCATCCATCAATCAACCAACCAATCGGTGAATCAATCTATCAATCAATCATTCAATCAATCAATCAATCAGTCAATCAATCAATCAATCATTCAGTTATGCAATCAATATGCGAATCAATAAATCAGACTTGAAATAATCTGCCCTGGTCAACTGATTACTTGTAATCAATCAATCAATCCATTATTCGTTAATTATGTTAAAAGACAGTTAATAAATAAATAAATAGCCACTACTGTATCACTAACAAAAAAAACGAAAAACAAAAAAAAACAAAGATGTTGAGTTGCTGCCCTTGGTAATGTGGTGTTTAACAATTTGTTATTATCGTATTTGATATCCAGTGAGGGAGTGTGTTCATTGGCTTGGCGATAGTAACTACATACGAAGGGATCAGGATTCTCAGGCCAAAGTACAAAGAATCAATAAAAGCTTAAAACTATTAGAAAATGTATGTATATCAGCTGTTTTATGATATTTCATTCACCTTTTTTTGTTTGTTTGTTTGTTTTTGCTCATTCATGATATTTCATTCACTTTTTGTGTTTGTTTGTTTTATCATTCATGATATTTCATTCACCTTTGTTTATCATTCATTTAGATCTACTAATAAAACTAGATATCATTGATTATTTGTTTAGATAACAAGTGAAAATGATGTCAATCAAAAGTATTTAGTTCACTATCATAATGGAGTATTAGCATCAGATCTTTCAAGGTACATTTGATACACTAATAATACTCATGAAATTATGACTTTGCTTGTTGTTATTATAATAACTCGGGGTGCGGCTTATCTACGAGAGCGGCTTATACATGGGTAAATACGGTATTATGTTTTATGTTGTTTTGTGTTTACATTTTATTAAATGCTGTTACAAACAATGCCCTTTGTTATATTGTCCACTCTAATTCCTGTTAGTAAGATGATGTCACTACCAGGTTTCGCTTGTGGACTAAACTAAGGATGTTTGTTATTTGTACCATGCAGTGTTTGGTTGCTGTATTGGTGATAAGATAACATCCTACATGTTTGCTAGTATTAATTATTCATTGAGTGTTTTCCTCCAAACATCAATCACCCTGTACAGTCTAGCTGTCAGTCATTAAATCTGTCAGTCAGTAAGTC